TGTGCTGTGGTGCTGCAGTGGGTGTGTGTGTGTGTGTCACTAATGTGTGTGCTGTGGTGCTGCAGGAGGTGTGTGTGTGTGTGTCACTAATGTGTGTGCTGTGGTGCTGCAGGAGGTGTGTGTGTGTGTGTCACTAATGTGTGTGCTGTGGTGCTGCAGGAGGTGTGTGTGTGTGTGTGTCACTAATGTGTGTGCTGTGGTGCTGCAGGAGGTGTGAGTGTACAGCGTCTGGATTCTGCTGCGGTCAGAACTTACTCCTGCTGATGGGTGTCAGGTGAGTCTCTATCTCTCACACGAGCCTCTTCATGATGCCTTACAGTCAATCAAGCATTTTATTGGATGAAAATGTGTGTACATCACTGAACAAATGATACAAATGTCATATTATTGGGCCAATTTAAAATTTATATTATGTTTTGTTTCTGAAATTTTGACTGATGATCAGAGATTGTTCAGAAGCTCAGGAACCAGTCTCACATCTGGCTCGTAGTTTACCCCGAATCAAAAGAAGTGTAAAGCCAGCATGGATAGTGTCCTCCATCGGTAGACAAGGCTCTCAGCTTGCTTTGTGAACGGCCTGTACTTGACTTGAGCACATGCTCTCATGAACACGGCTGTCTGTGTGTTCCTTCACCTGTGCTTTCTGAACCGCACTCAGAATCATAACTCTTACCTGTTATAGTCAAAGTCTCCAGTTCTTCATGCTTCTGCTGTGGGATTAAGAACTTCTTAACTGATATATTCTTATTCTCTTAACTCTGGAATAAAGTTTTATTATTCTAAAGACACAACTTTAATTTTTGAATTCCTGAAAAGATTGTAAAGATCATTTTAATATCACCAAAGCCTTTCACTTCATAGTTGAGATATTTCAAGAGTTGCACTTAGGAGAATTCTCAGGAACTTCATAGCCTTAATCTTGAGACTTTATTTCTTAACTTCTTTGCTGAGGATGTTCTGTTGAATCCTCTCGTGTCTGGTGTGTTTTCTCTCCGGTGCAGCGGAGGAGGACGAGCGTTTCAGAGGAGGACCTTCACAGACCCGGCGTCCCATCAGAACTCTGTCAGACCTTAGATTTGACGCCTCTATTCATGTAAAGCGAGCGACGTTCACTAATTTAGCAGTGTCTCGTATCGACTGTTGCTTGATTTGATTTGGTCATCTTTTAATTCTGGCGTCCTAATCCAGTTCAACTCTTTTAGATGTAATTTATGTATCACAAGTCCAAAGTTTGTACATTTCTGTCTGTAATCTCATTCTTATTTTATCCTCTCAGATACTTATTCCTTGTGTTTGATTTATCCAGCTAAAAGTATTTTGTGTGGTTTATCTTAACGTTGCTCTTCTCTTCACTGATTTTCCTCTGTTGATTGTGAGAAAGTGGCCCGAATCAATGGCGTTGCGTGAATATCTGGGTTGGTACGAGTTTTATATCCTCTGATACCAAATCAAACCCTTGGATAAGCCATAATTTGTAATAATTATGAGGGCTATTTTGAATACATCTTTCTACAGATGTGAGCTTGATGCCAGGTTTTTCTAGCATCTATTTGGCTTAAAGTCACTTTATCCATTCCCTGGTGCTGCGTTAGATCTGTGTGTGTGTGTGTGTGTGTAGTGTGAGTGTGTGTGTATGTAGTGTGTGTGTGAGTGAGTGTGTGTGAGTGTGTGTGTGTGTGATTGCGTGTGTGTGTCTGTGTGTGTGTGTAGTGTGTGTGTGTGTGTGTGTGTGTGAGAGAGAGA